CCACTTTAATAGGTGTGTTATCTAAATATAAGTCTTGGTCTTTGTGAGGTTTATATTTGCGACAAAAATGGATAAAATTAGTTTTTATTTTGAAAATTTAAATCCAAACACCATTTATTAAACTTGTTTAAACAAAGCTGCAGTTGTCTTTCAATAGAATGGATATTTTTCCACGACAAGAAATGTTAAAATCATCCACAAATAACGATCCATCAATTGAATCATTTAAAACCTTTGCTAAACTGTTAATCTTTATACTAAACAATGTGACAGACAAAATACTACCTTGTGGTACACCCTGTTCCTGACTATAATGATCAGATAAGGTAGAACCCATTCGTACTTGAAATTGCCTGTCATTGAAAATTTGGTTGAGGCAAACGGTCTCTTAAAATCCAAAGCCATGTAAATCTTTTAAAATACCGTATTTCCATGTAGTGTCGTATGCTTTTCCTAGATCGAAAAAGATCGACACTGCATGTTGTATAATTATTACAGCGTTTTTGACAAATGTTTCTAAACGCACTAAGTGATCAATGGTAGTTCTATTTTTACGAAAACCACAATGAATGTCAGTTATTAGGTTCAAAATGTGCAAGACACATTTTGTATGTTTGAGATTGGTAGAAGTCCGCTAGAATCAAACGTAGATATTAAAGTGCAAAAAAGGCAATTTGAAACTACAATCGCTAGTTCAAGTGACTCCCCCTTCATGTTTACTGAAAGACCTTGTTTTGGAGACACTACGCACCCCCCCCCCCCTTTTTTTAGATGACGTAATTATAAGGACATAACTTATTCCAATGTTTTCACTTATTCATACGTAATACCAAGGGTTCAAACCAAAACTTAATGGTCACACAAGTGTCAGCTCTCAATATATTGTATATCTGGACACAGTGTTTTTGAAACATTAAAATGGGGTGTCCTTAAAAACCAGTCCCCGTCTAAATATAAAGCAAGCAATCCAAATCTTTGACTGTTGAATATAATGGGAAGTCATCCAATACTATACTGAACATATTTTATATGATATTATCTGAAGGCATACCATTATCAAAGAGGTACCAAATGACAGATCGTTTTTCATGTTCTGCAAATTTTTAAGAAATATTTTACCCCAATGTGTTGTGATAACTAAAATTTCGGATATGACTTTGCTAATTATTCCTTCAAAATAAAACGGAAGCTTTTCAAACATTGGACATCGAGAATATAGTTAGGCTGGTCTCTGAATACTTCTGTCCTATTTACATACAAAAAGCAAAGGAATAAAGTCTGAAAATAATCTGAAAAGAATAGCCAAAGTAAACTTTTATTCTAAAATAATGATCTTTAATTTTTTGTTGAAAGGTACTACTTCATCGGGACCCATTCCCCCCCTCTTGTAACTAATGATTCTGGGATACCTTCAGTTTTTACAGATTTGGATAAAGCTCAAACATTAAATTATTATTTTGTATATGTTTAAAATGTTAATGATGGCGGCAAGACATTGCCACCTGTAAGCCATCGCTGTGTTAACAGTATAACAAATGCCACTGTAACCAAAAAGGAGGTATCTGATATGATTAAGACAATACCAGCAAACAAATCTTGTGGACTGATGGCATTAACATGAGAGAGTTAAAACGAAATGGTACATATATAGCTGAATATCTTTGTTGTATAATATACCACTGTGTGACTGTATTTCCGACAATGTGGAAAACGGGTAATGCTGCTACTATTTTGAAAGAATGAGATACATCCCTCCCAACTAATTACAGACCTATTATTCTTGAAAGAATAATGGTAAAGCATGTGCATAACCATTTCCATGAACATAGCATTTTAAGTAAATCCCAGTCAGGTTTCACTGCTAGTCATCCTGCTACATCTCAACTCAGTCCTAGATAATCGCCGCCTTTACTGTATGGTATTTTGTGAAATTTCAAAAGCTTTTGACAGGGCTTGGCATGAAGGTTTATTGCACAAATTAGAAAATTATGGTGTTCCTGGAAACGAACTTAGTTGGTTAACTAACTATCCATCTGATAGACGACAGTGTGTCTCTGTTAATGGAACATTATGACAGACTAAATGTTACTGCAGGGGTTCCTCAAGGATCTGTCCTTGGTCCATTTGTGATCCTTGTATATATCAATGATTTAACTGGACATTTATAAAATATCGCAAGAAAGTTTACCGATGACGCATTAATCGCTGTTGCGGTAAAAAGATGTAAAATCCAAAGAAGCTACTCAACAATGAATAAAATTAATTGAATAAATGGGCAGAAAAGTGGTTAGTTAAGTTTAACCCTAATATGACTAAATTTATTCTTTTCAACCATGAACATTGGCCTGAAGTCCCTGACTTGATCTTCAATAGTCAACATTTGGAGTGTGTACATCAACATCAACATAAACATCTTGGTGTTGGCGATTTTTTAATGAGCTTCGTCCTTCAAGCCGAAAATCTTTCAATTTGGTTGTCATTTATCAAACAATTAGTGAAGTTGGGCATTTTTATTATAGATTCTAAAATCTATGGACACTATTGGGACGTTGGTAACTTTTATAAGACATTTCTCGTGGTTGGAATATAGCCGACTTTATAGAAGATAAATATGAGTGCCCTTGTCTTATCATGTTTACGACACAACTGCCTATATCTTGGTATTTTCTGAACAAGAGAAGGCATATGCCGATATTTAGGTCGTTAACATAGCTATGGACACGAATATAATTTTTCTATTCATTACCGAAGTCTTTAAATGAGGAAATTACGCGATAATCGACTTTCCAACAAAGGCAGGCTCCCCGTCATCGTTGTATTTAGAAGGCGGCTTCTTAGAAACAACGAGGCGTCACAACGGTCAATGATATAGAAATATAGACTTTGATAATTATGTACAACTACTGACAGTGTCGTGTACAACTCTCCGCAGTGATATATACAACTACAGCCACAGCGGTATCCACAACACTGTCAGCTCTTCTATGCTGCATACAGCGGATATATTACTGGGTAAACATTTCCTTTCATGCATGTCTCTTTCCCCTGCCAATCACCCGATCTCATATTTCCCGACAATCCAGGAGAGACATCAACTTCAGGTATTCATCTATTAAGGATGTTTTTGAGGTAATCCGTGTTCTCCAGCTCGCTTTTAACTGTGAAGAGTTTCGTCCCATGGTCGGACCAAGATTCAACAAAGAGGTAAACTGCAGCCACAGTCACCGTTTTATGCGTTCCGTTTTAACTGCTGCACGTGAAGCACGCGACCCGCCGCGACGTAACGGGAATTATCTATCTTACCATAAATATACGTCTACTGAGGAGGATATATGATTCTGGAAACTGCTTTGCGTGACGAATTAAAGAATGTGACTTTCAGTTCTGAACATACTTCGCACCTCTGCATGCTTTATCTCATCGATACAGTCAGTTTTCATCTAAGGAGATGTTCCTCAGGTCTGTTTATTCATCGTAGTACCTCCTTCACGTCAAAGGTTTATCTCTACTGTACAAAAAACATTTACAGTTCAACATGGATGCCAGTTCATGATGGTCATTGAGAAATATGCGGTACAATTTGAGTCAGTTATCTCTTTTGTAGAGGCCATTTAAATAGCTTGGTCGCGGGACAGCGTAATGGGGTTCAGTGTTTTATGATTCTAAAGATCAACAATGAAATATAGTCGAATCTGTGAAACCGTGTTCATGTTTGTTTGTTTGTTCTCTGACTCACTCAGCAATGGTCCAGGTGTTCGGTGATAACGGTCGGTTGTTATGTCGGTGTCACTTACTGTTAAACTCTGTATCTGTTCATTGACAGCTAACTAAATGCCTACTCCTAAAACATAATGGGTCGTCACACAATACAATGACGTCATAGGTGTGTTGAGAGTTTCGACTCCACAGTCTAAACTGCCGGGCAAATGACACTTGAAAACTGGATATAAACGTTATCCAAATTGTTACTAGAGTGAAAAAGTAAAAAAATCTCCACAGAAATGATACCCCTAGCAAAAGCATATGATTTCTTGTTTGTTTCGAGTCGAACGTTGGTGTATACTTTCTTTTGTAGACACTAGCAGGGAAGGGATAAAGACTTAGTCATTCCGCGAATTTTATTTCAATTCAAGTGGTTTAGTAGCGCAATTTTCACTGGTGAAGTGATGATCTAAACTTGCTATCAGACGTTAAGAAGAGAAATGTATTATCCATCTTCTTACTATACGGTTATGCTCTGGGAACCATAATATAAGTATAGTTCCGGTGTTAAGCATTTTTATCCGAGTGAAATAGCGTCATTATACGCTCGAAGGTAAACTTGAAGCTATTATGACAAACAAACAACACACAGTGTTGAACATTTACTGCCGCGAATGAAATGTTATTATATGGAAAGACAAATGTTTCAAGGTGTGGTAACGATCAACAAGTCCAACAGAACAGCGCGCCTGGCATATGTGAATGAGCCACAACACAACACGGGGTCTAGGAGCGAGTTCACAAGGTCAGTAATTGGTGTGTCCACCTTGTGCATTGATGCAGGTCTGGCATCTTCACCTCATTGATGCCAGTAAACGTTGATGAAGGTCCCCGGGAAGATCATTCCATATCCGAGGAAGGATTTGGCGGCGTTCCTGTAGCGTTCTTGGAGGATTTTGATGATACAGTGGACGTCGTTCCATTTCACCCCAGACAGGGGCGGTGGGGTGGCCTAGTGGTTAAAGCGTTCGCTCGTCACGCCGAAGACCCGGGTTCGATTCCCTACATGTTTCCCAGGTAGCATGCCATCATCGGCCCGACGTCGGCTGATAGTCGGCACCGTCGGCTAAAATCGGCATCGTTGAACAGCGCTGGGCCGACAGCGGGCCAATGTAACCCAGATAACACATAACATTTTCAAAAACATGTTCATAAAGTTTCAAACTGATTTAACAAAAATATTTTCGTCAAAACACAGTCACAATCTTAAAACAATTCTCTCAATTATTTAAAAGCATTAATTATTCATTTAATTATTAAAAGTTGTTCATGAAGAAAGAAATGTTACCGCGGGAAAGGACGTCGGAATGACGTCACACCGTCACGTCATATTTTCGCACCCGCCATCTTAGTTGAAGTTTATTGAGGACGGTACAACAATGTCATTGTGCAGCAACAAATGGAACAGTATCATCGATCTGACCTCGGTTGCGGTAAGTTAACTTTACAGTCACTACACGGTTGTTGTTATGTTTATGTACATTTTGATATTCACTCGATCGTGCTACTCAGAAATCGCGATGTTTTGAGCAGCCGTACACGATCTGTTAGATTCGGTGTTGTTAGGCTTCCAACAGAAAGTATTATGTATGTTGTTGTGAAGGAGACCTAAGGGAGTTTGCACCATATTAATTTTATGTTGGATACAAAATTTTATTCAGCAATCAATGGCATGCAGTATGTTCTTAACCAGAGTTCATGTCAGGCGGACATTTGTCGCTATTACGTTCGGTTTTCGATCTAGTAAGCGTATGCACAGCTCACAAGCCAGTGACACTTATCGACATTAATTTTGTTCCATGTTATTTCTGAAATAAATATTTTTTAATTTAACATTACACCTTACTATCAAATTTCTAAGCTATGAACAGTTCGCTCACTTCAGTCGGTGGGAAAAGTTGCATCAAACTTATAACACGAAAATGGGGAATCAAATACTTTCTGGTCCACCTGACTGTAGGCTATTAGTTACTGTCATAGTCTAAGTATCCCGTTATTTAAAATGAATGTTCAGTCAGAAATGACCGAAGCATACTTGGTAAGTTACTGTAACACTGACTAAACTAAATGTTGATCATCCGCATGGTTGTTGTGGTTTTGCTTGTCTAACATTCCCACGTTATTTTCAGTAAAATGCTAGGTCTATATTATCAAAGTAAAGTGTTTACATTGTGTATTCTTCAATTTTCCCCAAACGAATCAGTTTAACATTTTCGGACATTTATATTTCTCTTCTAAACGAGAGCCAGAAATAAATATGTTTCCCGCGCTATAACGGGGCGTTGGCGATGACCGGTCCTCGGCAATGTTCATTCGGTTTTCGATCACCATGAATTTTTCATGATACAGTATTAATTATTCAAATTTACTTAGTCTTTGTTCAGGATATGTAGACCAAATAAATTTATTATGGTTTACTTGGTTCACCGAAACATTTTGCCAATGAGAAAAAAAAAATATAGTGATCGAAAACTGAACGAATCTGGTTACAGTGCTTGCAACGAAATCATACTGCAGCAGTAACTGTCCCGCGTGTAAGACGTGAATCATGTAGCTAGTTACAATAGCTATTTAATATATTAATTCAAGTTTGTATTCCAGGTTAGAATGTATAGAAGCGCTGTCCAGTAATCCATGTCTGTTGTAAAGGGGCAGAGTTATTTCCACCCCAACTTTATACACGTTGGTGTTAAATCTACACACGTTGACCCCCAAAAACTTTAGGCTATAATTATTACACAATATATTTCAGCATCGGACTAACTAGATTTATATATGCTTGGGGAATCTAGTTCAAGTTGTAACTTGTTATAATGTGGAACATTGTTATTTTTGTTGCAGCAAGGGCGAATATGAGACACAAGAATTCCGGCAGATGCAAACAGAAGTGATGGATTTGTTGAGGATTAAATCAAATAATCCAGGAGCTGTGAATCAGTAAACGTAAGTGCATCTGTTAAATATCACTGTCTATATACTTGTTGGTGACGTTTTGGCTTTTTATTGCAAAAATTGGATTTGTACCTGAACTCAGCCTCTGACCAACAAGAGTGGTGGGGTAGTGGTTGCTATGCAGTGTGATTTGATAATATTATATATATATATTCAAGGATTTCCATTATTTTCCATTGTGTACTGGTGTCCATCAAACACTTGCATATACATATGTGCTGGAAGACTTCATTAACTGATTATTGTCTCTTGATTTGACTTAATACACATACTATACATTTGTTTTCGTTATTTCAGAAAAATGGATAAAGTCGAAACCAAAGAAGAAGCTTCTGAAATAATCTCGAAAAGTGTACGCGTTTTCTGAAAGAAATTAATAAAGAGTGTTGATTACATGTCTGCCGTTCTGTTTTTTATGTTCTTGTTAAGAGTAACAATGTCTATTTTCTATAGACATGTAACCTTATTGTAACGGTTAGTGTTTTACTGAAAAGTTAAATCCATATCTTGACAGAAAATGTTATTACAACGTTTCCTGAACCATAAACATTCTCATGGATAAAGGTTTTCAGAAGCCTTTTTGGTGGTTACTGAATTTTATAACCAAACGTTCATAGAACACACTGTTTCTGGAACCATACAAATTCATATGAATAAATTGTTTTAAAAACATGATATGTTTAGGGGATGTTTCTTCACATTTATATATATGTTTTGATACACATTTAAGATAGTATTCATTTATGAATTGTGGTACGTGCTATCAAATATGTATTCACGGTTGAGAAGTGAAGTGAGCAACTAAACTAACGGGTAAAAAGAAAACGATGATAAGTCGAAATCACTGATATTACAAAACGACAAACCACCATTGTGTAAAAGGAAAGTGAATTTTAATAACAGGTGTATGGGCATGTGTATGCACATGCATGTTGCCCATACACCTGTTATCAAAATTCACTTTCCTTTTACACAATGGTGGTTTGTCGTTTTGTAATGTCAGTTTTTTCGACTTGGTATCGTTTCTTTGCCCGTTAGTTTAATATTGCAGTGCCTATAAAATGACGACGTTGGGCCGATGCAGTGCCAATAAAGTATGCCGACGTTGAGCCGACGTAGGGCCGATGCAGGGCCGATACAGGGCCATTGAAGTTTGCCAACGTTGGGCCGACGTCTATACGATGAGCAAAACTTCATCGGCCCGATGAAGTTTGCCGACGTCGGGCCGATATTGCACACGACGTCGGGCCGATGTCGGGCCGATGATGGCATGCTACCTGGGTTATCCCACCCCAGATCATACGTTCATAACACACCAACCTTCCACAACGACCCCTGTTCACGTTCACCTGTGCGCCGCAATGACACGTGTACCGCTGCCAGCTCGGTGAAGAAGAAAACGTGACTTATTGGTAAAGAGAACTCTTCACGCGCTCCACTGGGGCGGTGGGTAGCGCGCTCTCACGCCGAAGACCCTCATCTCGTTGTCTGATCCAGTGGAGACGTTAGCGTCGATGTTCTGACCTTAGCTTCGATGTTCTGGCTTCAGAATTGGCCATCGGGCTCGGTTTCTTGCAGCGATGCCGTTTGCGCGTGAACGTTGTTGAACTGTTCTCGAGATAATAATAATAATGAGTATTATAAAACGTTGTCCATATCCATCCACAAGGCGCATGCTCAAAGTGCATACAATGTGAGAAAAGGTAAACGCAATGAAATAATAGTATGAAATAAACCTATGAATAATAGCCTGAAATATGGCCTATGAATAATAGCAGGAGATAAAGTCTATAAAGAATAATAGCAGGAGATAAAGTCTATGAATAATAGCAGGAGATAAAGTCTATGAATAATAGCAGGTGATAAAGTCTATAAATAAAAGCAGGAGATAAAGTCTATAAATAATAGCAGGAGATAAAGTCTATGAATAATAGCCTGAAATAAGGCCTATGTATAATAGCAGGAGATAAAGTCTATGAATAATAGCAGGAGATAAAGTCTATAAAGAATAATAGCAGGAGATAAAGTCTATGAATAAAAGCAGGAGATAAAGTCTATGAATAATAGTGAGTGAGTGAGTGAGTTTGGTTTTACGCCGCTTTTAGCAATATTCCAGCAATATCACGGCGGGGGACACCAGAAATGGGCTTAACATATTGTACCCATGTGGGGAATCGAACCCGGGTCTTCGGCATGACGAGCGAACGCCTTACCCACTAGGCTACCCCACCGCCCCTTCTATGAATAATAGCCTGAAATAAGGCCTATGAATAATAGCAGGAGATAAAGTCTATGAATAATAGGGTGAAATAAGGCCTATGAATAATAGCAGGAGATAAAGTCTATGAATAATAGCCTGAAATAAGGCCTATGAATAATAGCAGGAGAAAAAGTCTATGAATAATAGCCTGAAATAAAGTTTGTGAATAATAGGGTGAAATAAGGCCTATGAATAATAGCAGGAGATAAAGTCTATGAATAATAGGGTGAAATACAGTTTGTGAATAATAGGGTGAAATAAGGCCTATGAATAATAGCAGGAGATAAAGTCTATGAATAATAGCCTGAAAATAGGTGTCCTCATAGACTCGTGTGTGTGTGTGTGTGTGTGTGTGTGTGTACGTGTGTGTGTGTGTGCAGTGCGTGCGTGCAGGGGTCCCCTTTGTCCCGAAAGTGTATTAAATGACACTGAAGTGTGCACCCCCCACCCCAAGACTGTGTGATACGGTTTGATGATGATGATGATGATGATACACTAAATTGCCTTACCAAATCAGTTTTTATGAATTACATACAATAACTGAACTAATGTTATGATTTACCATTGACTCCACCCTGTATTGTCTATTCCAATTCTATGAAATGCTTTCACAAATACATAAAGCCCTGACAAGACTATAGAATGACAAAGAGTATTTGACTCGGGAGGTCAATCTTCCTTCTAGAAATAATCCCACTGCTTTCATGTCTTCGACTTTTGAAAGGATATTAGAACGTTACCCTGTGTGCACCCGACTGTACTGAGCAACAAATTAAGTGTAATTGTGTTTATGCAGTTTCGTCATTATGTGGGTCTTTCAGACCGGATCACGGCAAACTGGCTGCGGTAATATATACTGTTGATTTGAAAGCCTTCCCAACCGGGCCGTTACCGCTACACAATTATCTATATAACAAACCAGTTATTTGCTGTGTCATATAGTACGTGGGTAATGTCTTGCAGAATGTTGCGTGTTATAGCGGCATCTGAGTGCATTGGGACTTGAGACATCGTCGGGGATATAGTGTGCTTTAATTTGAAAGTGTGTTGTAAGAACGTTAAACTGCTAGAAGAGTGGGGAGGTTTAGGTTGAATAGCATTCATTACTGTTTTGTGAAAGTAGAAGAAGGGAGACTGCCTGGGTTTGATTAAACCCGGGTTTTTTCCTGCTGCAGCTTTATCCAATAGTTTTTCATGATTATCTGAAAAATGTTCGCCATTATCAGCAGCAGGTACATAGTATAACTGATTCCAGAGAACGGAGGTCCCTGTTACTGCTCAAACGGAACATAGTTAATGGGAGACAACTCTTGTTGTTAAGCAACTGACATCTACACCGCTTCAGGTGGTATATGCGGTGTATGAAATAAGCCAAAACCCCAGCCAGACATCAGGTCTGGTACCTTCAAAATGTTACCAGTTCCAAATGGATTTAACCAGACCAGACACCAAGATATGACTCAAATGTATATAACATCTATTTTTTTTACCAGAGCATCGTGCCGGTTAGCTGTAAATCTAGACCGTCCGTCTGAAATCTAACCCGTCTCGGGCGGTCGGATGGGCCTTATTTCATTCACTGGTACATGTCAGTTATAACCTACCGTGTTTGCTAAATGGTGACGAAAATCCCAAGCGACACAACTCCTTGACGTTTTCAACTTGTCTGAACCCAAGGATTCAGTCAGAAAAACACTTGAATTCTATATTCACCAAACTAAATTTACTGGTTTAAGACCAGTTGTAATGTCTCTAAAACAGGATGATTTTTTCCCAGCATTTGGTATTAGGAAAACATCGCGGTACAAAGATCTTGGCATAATGTTAGACCTTAATGATCCAGTTTGTTTTCATGACAATATTGAAATGTTAGTAGAAACATTCAAGCAACGCTTTGGTGTATGGAATGCAAGAAAATTAACAATGTATGGAAGTATGTTAATTAATAAATCATCAGATTTATCTGGACTCATTCACCAAGCAAGCTGTATCTCTTTACCCAAGCACATTGTAAAGTCAATAAATACAGAATTGTTTACCTTTATATGGAAAAGTAAACAGAGAAGATATCAAGTAATCGTTTATCACAAAGCTATGAAAACGGGGGTATTAAGGCAATAGGTTTCTATATCTTTAATAATGCCCTAAAATCATCGTGGTTGATTAAATACTTGAAAAGGGCAGCTTTTCAACATACCGAATTAGAGCTCTATTGACTCTGTTGGCCGACTTGAATTTTTAATAAAGTGTAATTTTTGCATTTTAAGGTTAAAGTTAATAATTCAATTATTCTATGAGGATATTTTAAATCTATGGAAAATGTATTTTTACAAAGAGGTAGATATATTTAATAAAATAATATGGAATAATAAAACTGTTTGCATAAACAGAAAAAGTATTATTGATGCAGAATGAAAAAAGCAGGCATCATTTATATTTGGCAGTTAATCAAGAGAAGTTGTGATTTTTTCAAGAGAGAAGCTTCATCAAGAGAATATGGCTTTGACATTTCACCAATAAAATACAAGCTTTATTCAAATGCCATTAGAAAAGCAATTGGTTTTAATGTTTATTTCAAATACATGAAGTGTACTTCTACAGACTTTTTACTTCCAACTGCTGATGGTATTAAAATGAATAATAATAATTACAATATTTAAGCCTTTTACTCATTTTTCCGCACACTATTGACATATATTGTCACTCAAGATTACCCGGCCATAGATTATATTTAATAAACTCTTGCAGCTATGGCTGATGATTAAATTTTCACAACAGTTAATACAATTTACAATTACATAAAAACACCACCTCGGTATGCTCTCGTTTGCCCACGACTTTATTTCCGGAAAATGTGGATACAGGCCGGCAAAGACACATTTCAAGATGTTATTCATGCAGGTATTCAGTAAATGACATCGTATCATAAATTGCAATTCAATAGCGACGATGGATTTTGGCGTCGTGTACTCGCATATTATAGAAACTGAGAGTTGAAAGTGGTATGTAACAAACTGCAATCGCAAGAGTTACCTCCCTTAGAACAAATTTCCCTACCAGCAAGGAAGCATGGCTGCCAAATCAGGACAAACTGTCGATCTTACGACTCTTCCTGTACAACAATTAAATCAGCTGTCACAACAGTTAGATCAGGTTTGGCATAATCTAAATCCAAACAATCTATTTGAATCATATTCATCTTGACGTTGTGCGAGGAGCAAAATTGTCATCAGTTGGCTCTGTCACGAAATTAGATATGCGTGTTTGTTACTATGTTAGTCTAGTTTGTTAGTGTGTGACTAGATGTCGAGTGTTTTAGCTGTTGCCGCAGACATAACGAGCAGTTTGTTTGTTGTTGTTGGTAGTGGTACATAGATAAGAACTTCAGTGTAAAGTTCGGTTTGATGTGAACTCAACTAATATGTAATTAATATTCAGAAAGTAACGCAAGCGTCCAAATTTCTTTGCAAATTGCAGGCCCAAGGTTTGTCATAGCAACCGAGAAACGGGATTTTTAGGGTGTGTTCCCAGAGTGGCCTCTCTGTCTAGCAGACTTTTAGCACAATAAGTTTACTTAGAAAAACAGAATGATCATTCATCATGTTTGTACAAATATGGAATTTGTAGAAATTATGGATGTCCAGAAACTTTGGTTATTGAATTTTATTGACACTGATCATGTGCGCCATCAACATCATCAAAGGGTGGTGGACTGCTAATATTACACTCCGAATGCCTTGATTTAGAACAGTGCATGACGGGTACTGCTGAGGTGCATTATTCTCTTTTCTCTTTTGCACTTTTTTAAATCAATAAATATCCATTGATCTGTTTCCATTGATATGATTGAAGCTGGAATGGTTTTCATCCCACACACTGTGAAATGTAATCAATTTTTAACTTGTGTTCCAGGAGGTAGAGTTTTTTACCAATTCTATGAATCAGCTGAAGCTGGCTCAGGGGAAATTTGTCGAGTCTCAGGAATGTCTGAACAAGGCCACACCCGACAACCTCAACAAAGACATCTTAGTGCCTCTCACAAGTTCTGTATCCTTATTACACATGTTGCTGATGTGGTGAACCGTAACGAAACTTATGTCGTTGTGGAAAACAAATTCTTGAATTCCATTCAAACAATGAGTGATGAACTGTACCAGCAGTCTTCAGGTTTTAAATGGAATTCCAAATCAGTCCCCAACAAATCAGTCCCCAAATTTGTGCTTACATGTTAAAAGGAAGAAGTAGTGAGCACACTGCTCACTGCATTTCCATCCTTTTGTGTGAAAACAGAGCAAGAATTAAAGGAAGACAGTTTTATGGATGTCAACTACTTGATAATAAAAAAATTGACATCCATAAATCTCTCTTCCTTACTTGTATCACTTCTACAATTAAGACCAAATGTCATTCAAAGACCAGAGCAAGAATTTCAGTATTTTTTGTAAATCTTTGGTATACACAAGTTTCCATAATGATATTTCATTTATGCATAACTTAAAAAAAAAGCTTTTGAAGTAGATAGCCTGTTTGTTAGATTCAGCATGTTGAAGGATTCAGTATTCTCCTTGATCCTATGCTAGATGTATGTGCCTGGGGAGCTGAGTGATGTACAGAATGTCCTGGTGGATATTGGGACTGGCTACTACGTAGAAATGGTAGGTATGCCCTTCAGGAATGGATAACTTCTGCAGCGTGTGTGCGTTGGGAGACAGATTGTCTATTAGTCAAAATTTGTAACAGAATCTTTTCATTGTTGGTTTGAATCCTGTTGTCCTGATAATAAGGTTGTAACCATCTTTGATGAAATTCTGTTCGAAGGTGCATAAAATTCTATCTCCCTAATGAATTGAACTGTTGGTGGAGAATCGGTTACAAAGCTCACACTAGACAGTAAGTAACTATTTACTGAAAGTGAAGGAACTAGTGGTTACTGCTGTGAAAAACGGAGAACATCTTAAGCCCATCAACTGCCATGTAGTATATTGCTGTAAAACTCTCAGTTTCAGACTGTGAAAATACATCTACAGGGCAAGGATTATTTCAGAGAGGATTATTTCAAGAGGAAAGTAGAGTTCTTAACAAAACAAATTGAAAAAATCCAGCCCATTATGCAGGAAAAGTATAGAATGAAACAAGGTGAGGATTTAGTCTGTTAGTTATCATTATGCTCTTCATAGGCATTTACTGTGTTGACATTTACTCAAGTACATGCTGATCTTGAGTTATTTTGCAATTCAACATTCTCAGTTGGAGACAAACGGAACATAAGACACCTCTCTACTTAAAACTAACATCTGAAAAGAATTCTCATTACCACCTTCAAAAATGTTTTAGCCTTCAAACAGAAGCTATGTCTTTTATGTTGTTTGAAACAGCAACCTTCCAGATTTTGGTGTCTACCATTTCCCCTCCACTATTTGTCCAAATTGGCCCCAAAAATCCAAAAAAGAATCAGTGTTATCTTAGTGTCTTCCAAATGTGGTCCAACTGAGTGTCACTAGGAAACAATGAAACAACACTGTTTTCCAATGCATGGCCAATGAAACAAGATATTGATTTACAACCCCATGAGATACATAGAGAATACTACACGAGGTCTCATTACATACTAATTATACGAAACGAGTGTCCTTTCTATGGTATCTGACCGAGCGAAACCCCATGAGATACATAGAGAATACTACCATGAGATACATAGAGAATACTACACGAGATCTCATTACATACTAATTATACGAAACGAGTGTCCTTTCTATGGTATCTGACCGAGCGAAACCCCATGAGATACATTACATTATACTGGGTTAAAAACGTGAATAATTACTATGTTCAGCCAGTTCATGCAGATCCTCTAGCCTTTCATGTAGGCTGTAAAAGAAAGGTACAGTCTTCACCCTGACCTTGAGTGAACAAGGTTGTGCCCTAAAAAATTCCATCTATAATCTCTGAAATTTCGTGACTACATTGTATTATTGCACCTTCGTTGCTGTTTCCTGGGGGTCAAATACTCAGTAACACCCTGAAAAGTGTTTACCTGTACTTGTGTTGGTTTGTTGCAGCTGTGTTGGAAGTGATCCAGCTGAAGGTCCAGGCTCAGATAGCAGCACAGCAACAGGCAGGCAATGCACCCAAGGCATAGACTGGTATATGCTTGCAGGCATACACCCAAGCTCCATGTCTCATGACATCCACACCATTGACAATGACATCATTAACATGTGACATCGGACCACTGCTCACCGACAGGATTAACTTGTGGTTGTTTCAAAAGCATTCTCCCTCACAGACATTGCTCTCTTCATCCTGTTTTAGTGCAGGAGCCTGTTGTGACTCGCATGTTCTCATGAACATGTTCAGGGTTTGGTTGCCGAGTGTCATCAACTACTGGTACAACTGTGTACCTCAGGTATATCAATTGGAAATTTACTTGTTCTGGTCAATCTAGAATATGTTTAGAATATGGCATAGCCAGAATATGTGTAGAATATTATTTATTCCATATTGGGAAAATGTTTGAAAAGAGAGAAGAGCATTGGTTTGTTGATGTAATGGTTGATCAGTCAACTCAACTGGTTACTATTTGAAAACATTTTGGAGACAAAAATAGGAAATGTTGTGTAACATACATGTATGACTATGAATAAACTAAATTAATTCCTCTTTTTTGCTTTCTAAATATGTGAGTCAGTAGATTTTGTTTGTAAATAGCAGCCTGTCAGTTCATTACTGCAACCACCTGGTCTATTTTAGACAGCCATGGCAAGCATGAATATTCAGCCAGTTCAATACTGCAACCACCCGGTCTATTTAAGACGTTTTGGACAATAATCAGCCAGTTCATCACTGCAACCACCCGGTCTATTTTAGACAACTATGACAATAATCAGCCAGTTCATCACTGCAACCCCCGGTCTATTTTAGACAACTATGACAATAATCAGCCTGTTCATCACTGCAACCACCCGGTCTATTTTAGACAACTATGACAATAATCAGCCAGTTCATCACTGCAACCACCCGGTCTATTTTAGACAACTATGACAATAATCAGCCTGTTCATCACTGCAACCACCCGGTCTATTTTAGACAACTATGACAATAATCAGCCTGTTCATCACTGCAACCACCTGCAACCACCCGGTCTATTTTAGACAACTATGACAATAATCAGCCTGTTAATGCTGCAACCCCAGGTCCTTTTCTAGACAGGGCAAGCGTGAACAGTACACACCTGTTATGTTCTGGAATCCTAACTATTGTTTGTGGCGATTTCTTAAATTGACAACGTCTGTGCTCTGGTTGATAGAGCAACTGAAGGACCTGGTTTGGCCCTGCCTGTGTCTGCCTGGTGGCCAGCATTCAGTGGAGATAACAGATACTGGCTAGCTATTCTCCAAACTTTTGTAGCCCTACAAACTTCTTAAGCCCATTCTTAACACATTGGCTCACGATCAAAGTTAAGAATTCTTAGGACTAGCTAGCCAATGGTATGATATGTCGTCTGAAATTGAACCATGGGCGCTGGTCCATTTGGATTCAGTTCGATTCTTTTTTTTAGAAGGTACTCCATGTTAAGCTGCAGCATGTTATTTAAGGTGACTGGCACTGTAGAATTTACATTAGTCCCAGCTAGTACAAGCATGCGCACACACACACACACCTTGCTGTAAACGTTAAATGATCTTGACCCAGAACCCATTCCATCCCAGGGTCACCATATCTAAAACACACTGACAGAGTGATCCAGCAGACCTGATGCCCTGCTGGCCATTACTGCTGCCGAGTCTTATACCAGGGGGATATAAGCCCCCGGGTGGGTTGTAAAGAAAGCAATTGTACATTGTAGGTTCAAGCACGTTAAAACACTGTATTGAGAAGCAATTTGGAATATTTCGAAGTTTAATGGTCAAAATGAAAGCATCATCTTGAATACAACAAATATATGCCCAGGGACAGGTTCGATCTCATACCTTTGGGTATTTTGTTGTTTAATGCGGCACTCCCAATATTCCGGTGGTCTTTAAAGTAATCCAGTCTGGTCATAATAAGTAGTTGCTGGATTGAGTAGTTGGGTGAGCGAGTGATACGAGTGTTCCGGTGAAATAAGGCTGCACCAGCTGAATGCAACAAAATCATTTACCAGTGAATTCAACAGGGCACACATTAACCTCAAATCTTTGATACAATGTCTTTTGTCTTCATATGACGGGGCAATTCGAGTTTGTTATATCTTCAATATATATGACACACCCATACCTGAAGAACACTTTACACTGATTTAGTGGAGCAACACTTAACACTGTTTTAGTCGAGGAACCAGTGCAGTGTGCTTCCTACGCTTCCTACTTCATTAGGAGAGAACACCGTTAATGGATTTGAAACAATTTGATGATTTTTACATAAAAAGGAATAATACATCATTTAGACTTTTTACAATATCTCATTTTATATTTTTGAAGTTTGAACCCATGGGCCAATACAATGTCTATGTGAACATATACATATATGGCTTGAATGATACACTGGGTTTGAATTGTCCTTGGAAGGAAGTGGATGTCTTTGTTAAATGGATGACATAAACATAAGTGATTTGGTATGTTGTTCTCTATTGCTAAACTGAGGGGCAAAATGAACTATACATTGATTTTGTCATATGTATCATATGGGCTATTTAAATATGATATGTTACGTCAAAACTATGAACTATACTGGCGCTTGTAAAAGAATACTTCCACGTATATATATATTTTTAAGTAAGCTAATTGGTATCTCAGACATCTTATCTTAGAAGATCTATAAATGTTTTGGTTTTTGGCACAATTGTCCAACATTTGAAATGGTGTGGCTGCAAATTCGTTTCTTATCCGAATCGTCTCTGAATCATATTATTTTGATTTACACAAAATGTCAAATCACAGAATACTTTTCACAAAATGTTTCAGGAATGATGCTGATCGAAGACAATCCATTCTTTCAATTGTGAATTACATAAAAACTACTCAGTATGCTTTTATTCTTCGTCTAATTAATTTAATTATCTATTTATTAACACTTAAGTTCTCATAAAAAGTTGAAATTAAAATACTGATCGAATTGAAAAGTAAAAATCGGATTGCATAAAATTTGGATGCTGCTAGACTTCGAAGAAAAAACAAAACCATCACAAACGTTGATTCGCGAATAATGTGCTTTCGGCACCACAATAAATCTAGTTTATAAAAACAATGATAAGATTTGTTATGGTTTTAGCGTCATTGATATTTTCAACCGCCGATCACAAGTCACAAGACGTTAGAATGTATGATGAAATTAGTTCTCCGTGAGTCCTTGTACTAAGTGCAATTTAGTGAGGAAGCGTTTGTCGCAATCAGAATTCCTTGCTAGTTGCTGTCAACTTGTGTAGTGTCATCACAGCTTGTGTTCTACGTAAGGTCGCGACAATATGACGTCAGCACTGTCGAACGCCGTTGACCTTTCACTCTGTGACGTCATAATAATACCGGGACAACGAAACTTGCAAGAAGGTAAGATTTTTGCTCCGGCAAATAATCCAATTATTCAGTATAACACGCTGATGTTAGGACAGGAAAAACGGCCGGTCATATCCTACACGTGTGGGTACGCAAACTGACAACAGGAAGGCTTCGGAGTTCTACGTGTGGTGTTAAAGCCATGTTCTAAACACATCGTTTAGACGATTTATTCTAGCATTCGTTTTCGCGCCACCAGAGACAGAGGAATGACATGTAATGAAATGAATAAACGTCCTCGGCCAGTATATTGTGCCGTACCCTGTATTATTGATACCGGGTGTATTTTAGTTTGCATGCCCGTGAGAAATATCTTCAGACACGCATGCTTGTCGTAAGAGTCGACTTACGATATTGGTGGTCAGACTTTGATCGTAGCCAATGTGTTAAGAATGGGCTTAAGAAGTTCGTAGGGCTACGAACGTTTCGAGTATAGCTAGCCTGGTTGCTACATGTGATCGTGTTACATTGCGTAGATCGATGCTCATGATGTCAGTTTCTGGTCTGTCAGGTCCACACTCATTTATTTACAGACAGCCGTTATATAGCTGGAGAATTGATGAGTGCGGCGTTAAACAAACACAAATTAACCAACCAAACAAACTTATATATGTATTTACAAGAGTCGTGAAGTGTGCCTGTGTCGCGCACCTTCTTGTCACAGGTATGATCGAATTACACTGGCCCACTAACCGGAGTCAGTTGATGATCAGGTGGACATGCAGGTGGACTAAGCGATGTCTTTCAATGGCATCACTGTTCGGACTAGCAAACGTGTGTGGTTAAGTTTCCTTCCTGCTTGAACAAACCTAGTGACGGGCAGCAATGTGCCTGGAACACACAGCCAATGGAACATCAACCTTCCCCCTTTATACATTGTATTTGGCATGGACCCAAACTGGACACGATGCCGTTGTATATTGATTGGGGTATTAATATTGTCAGTTTTCACCTTGTGTATGGAAGGTAGCCCAACGTATGGACACAAACATCTCGTTTGCAGAAATTACCTTCTTTTTCGACCCAAACAAATAGAAATGATGATGGCGGTTTTCTTATATTTCAAGCAAACATTTCGACAAACGTGTTCTACGACTCACTTCCTCGACAACAGACGTTCTGCAGTAACTTCAGCAAGGATAATGAAGTCTTACAAACTCGATTGGCAGTATCTAAATTATGTTATATCTTAGGTTTGGATTGCATTACACTGAAAACCACTACGCCATTTTGGTAAAGGGCTTTGTGGGCGTAAACACCACGTTTCATGTGTCATTTGTGCATTACTTACATGCATGCAGTGGATTGGGTGGATTTTTGCTCAATATGTTGATTTTAATGTAGTCATACCTAAGTAGGAAGTACTCTTAGAAGACAGCATGATCTGAAATGTGCATATGCAATAATGGGCATGTTCAAGAAGTCGCGCTCCATCGCTGCTTGACTTTTTACTCGCTTTACTTCCGACTCCAGAGTGTGTTTAGCTATAAACACACATTTTCAGATTTCTGAAGCCGGCATTATAAACATCACAATGATGTGACTGACACGCACGCACGCACGCACGCACGCACGCACGCACGCACAAAACTTGACACAAGTGGACCATCATCCGCCTTCCGTAATTCTAACCAGGGCCAAGATTTTCGAAGCTCTTTTAAAGCTAAGATAGTCGTAACTTAATGTTAATGTATGGCACTTGCGACTATCTTAGCGCCGAGAGAGCTTCGAAAATCTAGGCCCAGGTACGGCAGTGTATCTTCTGAAATATCTAAGCTGATGTTGATACAAAGTAATTGTGGTTCCTATTCAGACCTCTCCTAACTACAAAACCTCAGAATAATAACAACCTGTCGTCTTGAAACAGTATATTTCAGGGGCATGGACACTTTGCTGAACCTCAGTGACAACGAAATCGAGAACATCAGTCTCGACGACGAACTAGTATTGTTCGACCGCATAAAGAAGTACTACTCCCCCACCTGTGACCTCCGTGTCTCCTATCTCCTCGGGGAGGCCGTCGTAGCATCGTCGTACGACTGGGTTGGGCTGTACCGGCCGGGGTGGGCATCAACTAGCGCCTACCTCAGCTACCAATGGGCACCGGTACAAGCTGTCAGTGCGCATGCTCCGAGAAGACGCCGGGTTGTTGTACCCCGGTCGTCATGGGTAAGTGAGTGAGTCAGATTGGTTTGGGAGTTATCAAAAGTGGTGTCACAATGCCTCCAATATATGATCAGTGTCTTTTACAGACACAATGAAGGGTGTGTTACAAAAACGTGTTATTTATCAATAATAAAAGCGACATCTCTTCCTTACAGGGGTATTTGTCTGTCGCTCAAATCAGGAACATCCATAGCGGCAGTCACCGTATCCCGTTCATTGTGTCCATTTTCTGTGCCATTACTTTGGGCTATGCAGATCATGCGGCCAGATTAGTCGACCAGAGTGCGCTGAAGGATATATTGTACACTCAAACATCTGTGCCTGACTACAAACAAAGAAATGTGTTCAATATATTCGACACACCAATCTGTTCATTAACAGCACCTCAAATACATATTCTTTGTTTTGATCGAAAGTGAATTTTAAACGAGGATTCCAGTTAAAAAACAAGACCGGTATGGATTTTGAAATGGCCGAAACAAATGGCGGCTCCAACGAAAACCTGTACCGGGTTTGTTTTCGATCTGGAATATCCCAGTTCAAAAGCCGCTTATGACAAAACGTAGTCCCCAGCAGTGCCACTATGAAAGGATGAGGGAATACAGTAACCGCACCTGGAGGATGCCGGGTTATGTCGTCGCGTTTGGGCTCGTCATTTTCCACGCATTTATTTCAGTCAAATTACCAAAATGAAGACAAGTTGCAGCTCCTCTACGTCTCCGCCAGTGGGGACGTCATCGGCGTCAGCTGCTCATTTCGTATCGGTGAACCCGAGGAACCCGATCTCAACTTTAACGTCCTGGAGCGCCCCCAAGATACAGCGTCTTCCGTGTCGGTGGTGGAGTCCTTCAGCAACAACTTTGTAGGCAAGTCCCATAACGCTAATGCGTGAAAATGATGTGGTCTCGGAACACATGAGAAACACATCTGGGGGAGTTAGGAAGTTTGGATTAAGGCCGATCTGAACAGTCAATATTTTAACGATAAAAAGGTTTATCGGTCTCACGTGGGAAGAAATCCACTAATCCTGAAGATTGTGGGCGTTTGCCACACGATCAACCCAGGAAACACGAGTATGGCGCTGACAGAGCTAGGGTGATAATAAGGAGAATCTGAGGTTCGAACCCACAATCAACCGATCGTTGTTTGCCAAAGGGACAGAATCACTTTTGATAGCACCCAATATTTTTGTTGACCCCTGAATTACATGTTTCATCGGAATAGTGAGTGAGTTTTACTGACTTAGTTAGCCTCTGGTCATCTTTCGGCGTATCAGCTTAATGTTGGCGGTCATAGATGTTTATCGCTTTGATGAAAACCACGAGTATTGGACAAAACAAGAAATATGATCGGGTCTAACGTTCGAACCTCGACCCGCGGATCCGATATGAACTCTGTGTTGCAAACCCATACAGTGGAATGGGTTACCATAAAGCACCAATGCCTAGACGTAATGCTATGCCAGACATGTACATTTTAAGAATTCAAAAAGTTGATGAGTACCTTTGACCTCTTATCTTAAGATGAGTGTTGGTTAAATACCCAAGAATGTATATACTTTACCCCTTAATTCCTTATAACTTGATGAGTTATGTTACACTGAATTCTAACAGCGCCCACTCATGTGATTACTACTGTATGTTATTAATGAAGGGGCGGTGGGGTAGCCTAATGGTTAAAGCGTTGGCTCGTCACGCCGAAGACCCGGGTTCGAATCCCCACATGGGCACAATGTGTAAAGCCCATTTTTTTGGTGTCCCCCGCCCTGATGTTGCTGGAATATTCCTAAAAGCGGCGTAAAACCAAAACTCAATCAGTCAGTCAGTTATTAATGAAAGCTTCCTTGCTATGTCAGACTTGGAAACCATCAGCTTACTGAGTGAGTCGGACTCGGGAAACAGCTCCCCTTCTGACCTAGATGTGGACGTGGACCCACCAGTGAACGTGGCGTGGGACTGCAGCACCTTGTCCGGAGACTTCACTGGAAAGAGTTGGTTGGAAGAACTAGAACTACTGCCTGACAACACCATTGTTAAGGAGTACGAACCCGTCAAGGATCGCTGCTTGGTACCTTACATGCCGGTTCTTCTGAAAGACTTCTCTGGAACTCCTAAAACGTACCAACCCATAACCGACGTTAAAGATCGGCGATCGTATTCCATCTTTTTCGACGAAGATGCAGACGAGGAGGGGATGTCCCTTCTCTTCAAGAAGGATGGTTTAAACACACCAGATGAAGCCAAAAAGGTTCCTCTTCCCAAGACAGCAGTGTCTGAGTATCTTCCCATAGAGTGTGCTATAAAGAAGCTGTATGAGGAGATTTCACCACAACATCCTCAGGACAAGGGGTCATCCATCGCCTTGGAAGAAGAATGTATTCCATTGCTGTCCGACGATGACCTTACGTTGTCAGATGTCCCTCTAGATTCCACTAAGTCACCGACTGAAGTTGAGGTTGATGGTTGCCCGCCTACCTTGTTTTCCGACGAGGATGCCTTTGACAAAGTCATGCCACTCTACAGTGTTGACGAAGGCAGAACTGCCGTAGCAGTATTCAGTACAGAGAAGAAGAAGAGGGTAAGTGAACATGGTACATAAGTCTCAACAATTGTTAATGCTCAACGCCCTGTTTCAGAAACAACCATACTGGTTCAACTATCGTAACATATACTTTAATATAGGCAGTGATATTTATAGTTTAATACATAATATATCAGCATATTTCTTGCACAAACCTATCACGGCTGATGCATTCTTGCTTCGTGCTTTGTAGTGGCGTTTCCTGACAATCTGTGATGATCGTCGGCCATACCATTCACATTGCTCTATCAAGGCTTGAGTATCCCCAGCTAAAAAAGTACCCTGACAAAAGACAGTTTCGTTATGCTATAGCAAACCTATAAATTCACAGTCTGATGCAGATAACGTAAGAGATGGAAATGGGTGAATTTGCTCATAACTATTTATGGTTTCAACAGGCAAAGCAAGAGAAGATAAGAAAAGCTATAGAGATCCTCCACGGCCTCATCAGGCTTATTCCCTCCACCTCCCTGCCACGACCTCTCGGCTGCGCTCCTGACTGCGCCGGGTGTGTTGTGAGTCAGGGGATCCTGAGTCATTACCACCAGCGCTTCCTGGCAGCAGAGGAGGACGTGCAGAAACTCAAGGAAGAGGTGCAGGCTCTCCAGAAGAGCTTGGATGCAAAGGTGAGAGGTGACTCACCCATGAGTCTTATTGTTCTACCTTTACGGGACCGTTGGGAGTATAATTAAGATCACTTTATGAGTATCACAGTACACCATTCGTCTATAGATTTGGCAGGGGCATGGATCATGTGTTTTCGACCACCAGTTTTTCTTGCTCAAAGTAAATCGTTTCCAAACTAGCGACATATAGTGTTATTGCAGACTGAGGTCTACATCAACACTTATTCTTTCATCCAATAGACCGCCTCCGTGATGTAGTGGTTAGAGCGTCCGCCCGGAGAGCGGAAGACCGCGGATTCGAACCCCGACTGCGTCATACCAAAAGACGTTAAAATATGGTACTTGTTGGTCCCTGCCTGGCGCTCGGCATTAATGGGTACAACAAGGACTGGTCGGCTCGGAGTCAGTATAATGTGTCTGAGTGGGGTATTCATGCTTCACTGCGGCATGGTATCTCAGTGGGCTAGCACTATAAAACCAGCTTAAGTCTGGGCTAGTACAAGCAGCCGCACATACACATACACACGCATGCACGTCGTCATATGAGCGAAATATTCTCAAGCACGACGTAAAACCCCATTTCACCTCACCTCTTTCATCCAATAGAAACCAATGACCCATCATAGGCATACCGAGTGTATAGATGATCCTATTTTGTTGTTAAAGGATGCAGCGATTATCAGCGCGAAGGACCACCCCAGCCCCATCCTAATGAGTTCCTTGTCCAATGTGATGGGCATGGTGAGATATGTCCAGAGGACAAACGAAACAAACGCACTCCTGGACCAGGCCCTCACGGTCACCCTGGCCGAGAAACACCAGCTGGAGAAAGGTCAGATTACATCATCCCCAGAGGTAGGAACAATACCGCAGGGTTCTGTCCCGTCTTAACGGTAATGTCGCTTTGTGAAAAACAATACGGCCCTTTAGGTTTAGGTTTTTGAGACAAAACAACAGTGAGGTGGTGATTGTGTTTAACAGGGGTAAAGGGCTGCCCAGTGGTCGGGTTCGCCGCGAATCTCTGTAGAGGTCACCCAGTGGTCTGTTGCGCTGCGAATCTCTGTAGAGGTCACCCAGTGGTCTGTTGCGCTGCGAATCTCAGTAGAGGTCAACCAGTGGTCTGGTTCGTCGCGAATCTCTGAGCAGAGCTCACCCTGGGTTCTCTGGCCCCCTAATCACTGTTTAGAGATGTACCGCTTACTCACATTATGGTCCGCTGATTGTAGGGTGGATATCTGTATTCTGGTGGTCGAAGTAAACCTGTTTGACCTGCGTTAGTGATTCAGCTTTCCCCCGGCATTGGATTGTGAGCGAGTTGGGTTTACGGCGTTTGAACAGTATTCCAATCAGGCCATATCAGCTGTATGTGTGGAACGCCGAAATGATGCAGATCTTAGACGTTTACTACAATGGTGAAGCCCACGAGGTTGTGTAATTGCTTGTGTCAAGGCAATTGTTTGGCAAGAATCTTAGTGTCTTTTTTCCTCAGAGTGCATCCGAAAAAGGTCAGCAGACGGAGGTGAAGGTCGTCAGAGATGAGTCCACAGAATGCCTCACCTCGCCACAGGGTAGGTGTCCTACCACAATGTTCACAGCAGCAGTCACAGGTAGAGTTGTAGCAACTCTGCTCTGAACGCTCATGTAGCAAAATATCACATTGTGAACGCTCATGTAGCAAAATATCTCTTTGTGAACGCTCAGCAGCAAAATATCTCTTTGTGAACGATCATGTAGCAAAATATCTCTTTGTGAACGCTCAACAGCAAAATATCACTTTGTGAACGATCATGTAGCAAAATATCTCTTTGTGAACGCTCAACAGCAAAATATCACTTTGTGAACGCTCATGTAGCAAAATATCTCTTTGTGATTGCTCATGTAGCAAAATATCTCTTTGTGAACTTTGCTCATGTAGCAAAATATCTCTTTGTGAACGCTCAACAGCAAAATATCACTTTGTGAACGCTCATGTAGCAAAATATCTCTTTGTGAACGCTCAACAGCAAAATATCACTTTGTGAACAATCATGTAGCAAAATATCTCTTTGTGAACACTCAACAGCAAAATATCACTTTGTGAACGATCATGTAGCAAAATATCTCTTTGTGAACGCTCAACAGCAAAATATCACTTTGTGAACGCTCATGTAGCAAAATATCTCTTTGTGAACACTCAACAGCAAAATATCACTTTGTGAACAATCATGTAGCAAAATATCTCTTTGTGAACGCTCAACAGCAAAATATCTCTTTGTGAACGCTCATGTAGCTAAATATCTCTTTGTGAACGCACGTGTAGCAAAATATCACTTTGTGAACGCTCATGTAGCAAAATATCTCTTTGTGAACGCTCATGTAGCAAAATATCACTTTGTGAACGATCATGTAGCAAAATATCTCTTTGTGAACGCTCATGTAGCAAAATATCTCTTTGTGAACGCTCATGTAGCAAAATATCTCTTTGTGAACGCTCATGTAGCAAAATATCTCTTTGTGAACGCTCATGTAGCAAAATATCTCTTTGTGAACGCTCAACAGCAAAATATCACTTTGTGAACGCTCATGTAGCAAAATATCTCTTTGTGAACGCTCAACAGCAAAATATCACTTTGTGAACGCTCATACAGCAAAATATCACCTTGTGAACGCTCAACAGCAAAATATCACTTTGGGAACGCACTTTCTGTACTGATTGCTCGTGCAGCACAATATCACTTTCCGGACGCATTTGCCGTGAATTGTTACTTTGTCCACTAAACATACGTGTAGCAAATATCCCCTTCTGAACGCAAGTTTTGTTGACTTCTGTACCGAGCGCAGTAGCAAATGTCACTATATGCTGAACAATCTGGCAAGAACTTTACAACAGGTGTCGTTACCACAGATACGTGCCACTTTGAGGATGAAGAGCAGGACGGATGGAACCGGAAGAATTCAAGGAAAATCGGTAAGCGACCATCTGCGATTACGCACCCCAGTTGGGCGTGGTGACTTATCCCACCGCCTATAGCAATATCTGGATGGAAATACCATCGTTGGGGTCACAGGATTCAAGAACATGAAATATTACGCCGTGTGGTTCCATTGCCACTAATTTTTGGTCTTTCTTGTCAGTCAGAGCTCATGCTCATTGGTAAGATGATGAAGATATCGTAAAAACTTTAAAGTGGGAAATGCAATAGTACATTTTGAATTGTAGATCGTTTGAAGAGGACAATTGTCCACAAGGAGGAGGACCTGGAGACAATGCAGGACAAGTTGTCAGGGCAGCAGGTCCAGATAATCATGTTCCAGGACACCATCAAGGAACTCAGGAAGAACGTCAGGGTACGTTGTCAGACAGTGGGATATCTTCACAATTAACATTCAGCTAAATCTATCAATTCATTTACTGTAATTATGAAAAGCTGAAAAATACACAACTGAGTTCAGTCTTAGACAGTCGTACCCACATTTCTCTCTGTCAGTGTATTTCCGTGTACGGCTGACGACACAGACATTATGTTGTTTCCAGGAGGAGAGAAGACTAGCTAAAACAGCCCGCCAGGAGGTGCTCGCGCTCCGACGTCAAGTCAGTGCTATGACGTCCAGTCGTAAGCGGTTAGCATGGGGAGGTCACGTCACCAGCAAGGACGTCGGCGTGTCCATGAAACCTCAAACCGCCACGGTGGGGACTGAGTCACGTTACCCAAGACGTCACACGTTCGGAGCTCAGGTTTACCCGAAGCCACGGTTCATGTCTGGAGTCTCAGCCTTCTTCCCAGAGCGCAAGGCATTTAGAGAAGACATGAATATGCAAATTAGGACAGGGAAATGCCGAACATGTGGGATGCGCTTCTCGCCCACTGTGGACAGGAGGCTGATCGAGGAACACATCACATTCCACCTTCAGTTCCACATGTAGTTAAACTGATGGCTCTGCCAACAACTTCATCTCTCAAATCTGATTGTCTCGGACCGTCCATGGATCATGCATTATAAATTGGCGACACCGTTTTGTTATTTAGTTGCTATTGCGCCATTTTCATGTCATTTTTTTTTTATGTTGAAAGGGGTGGCTGTTACATTTTGTTATGTCTATTTGGAACACGGGTTGAACTGTTCTGTTGTACAGTTGTAACATTTCTTATGTAATTTTATACCATATTTGGGAGTGTTCGTGAATTTCGATACGCATATTTTAGTTATATTTTACAATCTCTGTTATTTTGTATTCGTTGTATTTTAGTGTCATTTAAACGTCTTATACCTTTTTTGGAGATTGTATAGATAAATATATGAATATTTTCATGGCGTTTGTGTTTGATTAGGATTAAAATAACTATATATTACACACTACCACAACAGAATTACCATCTAGAAACTCTGAGAACAAACAATGTCTCTTTTAAAGTCACCTTGTGAAAGTACACTGGGCTCAGTCAAATTACAATGTTGTATCTGAGGCTGAATTTAAGTGGTGCTGTGCGCCTTTGGGGTTTGCTGGGTTCCAAACTTTGGAGGTTCCAACCTCCCGAGTGTGCTCGACATGGGTTTAATGGGGCCCGAAACCCACATCGGATGCATAAAACAGACGAGCGTTATAAATCTCACAAACGCCCGAGAAACTGACAGTGTCTTATCCAAGTTGTGAAACGAGTTTTGTAAACACATTGCAATATTCACTACATCAGAGTTCAGTTGCCCCAGACACTGATTCATCCATGCACGCCTTGTCAATTTAACATGTGTTCCTGACAACACGCTGTCGACAATTACCAAGAAATATGCAGAAGCCCAAATGGATCTGTTGAAACAATTCAAAATGAGATGTTATTGCACGCATCTTTTCTGACAATTTAGAAAAAAAAAAGACCCGTGAAATTCTGGGGTAGGTCTTCTGCAACCCATGCTTGCCACAAAAGGCGACTATGCTTGTCATAAGAGGCGACTAACTGGATCGGGTGGTCAGGTTCGCTGACTTGGTTGACACATGTCATCGGTTCCCAATTGCGCAGATCGATGTTCATGCTGTTGATCACTGGATTATCTGGTCCAGACTCAATTATTTACAGACCGCCGCCATATAGCTGGACTATTGCTGAGTGCGGCGTAAAACTAAACTCACTCACTCACTAGAAAAAAAGAAACCACACACTACCGATAATAATTTCTAACATCCCAAAACACGACGTTTAAATGTTTTTCCACTGTTACAACAGCAAGATATCTTGTAATGTTTGAGTGTTCGAACCTCAGTAGCGGAAGCTATATTAGAACAGATAATGTCGCTGGGATATTGCATGCACAATCGCCAGGTTAATTAAACAGCTTTGAGAACAATGAGATGGGATGGAGAATGTGGACTGTTACAGCGCACAGACGTGTTCTGTAAGCAATATGTGACCCCTGAGTGTCACGTGGTCTAGGTCAAGATGACCTGACCCGATAGTTATTCTGCCATTTTCATGTAACGCGGACGTACTTGTACACAAGGGGGAAACTAAAGTATCGGAAGTAGGCAGTGCTAAGTATAGCTTTTAGATCCGAACTTTGTAAGTGTGGCTTTTGTTGTTTATTTTACAATGCCAGTCATTATGATTACCATCGAAGAAATAAGGCATGGATCCAGGCAAAACTGATATCAAGAAGATATCATTAATACAGCATGGATGCTCCACCAATGTTCGATCTAAAGGTCCTGAAATTACAAGTAAGTCACTACTGTTGCTGCTGCTACTACTACCACTACTACTACTACCACTACTACTACTACTACTACTACTACTACTACTACTACTACTACTACTACTACTACTACCACTACTACTACTACTACTGCTACTACTACTACTACTACTACTACCTGGTCAGGCTCGCTTACTTGGTTTGTGCATGTCATCGTATCCCAGTTGAGCAGCTCTAATGAAATCAATCACTGGATTGTCTGGGATTCGATTATTTACAGGCGGCCGTGTGTCTGAAATATGATTAACTGTGGAGTTAAACAGCAAACATCTACTACTATTACTACTTCTACCACTGCTGTTGCAGCTACTACTACAGCAAACCAAGCTTCAGATACATACAGTGAGGAGTTTGTTAACAAAAGCATACAATTTCATTATTTTAATCAAAACCTCGTTCATGGTCACATATCGTGGTTAGCGGATCCTTCATTAGGCTGTTCACACGACAAACACGCGATAACGGAAATATATCCTACCCACAATCCAACCACCCGAAACAGACACTGTGGTACAGTCACACAGTCCCGACTTACGTTGAACTTCCGACCTCTGGTGCGTACAGAGATTCTCGATGTACACACTTAACGAACACCTAAGTATCATATTCGAAACTGACTCATACTAAAAGTATAATTACAAACGCTATCACAACGTTAGCTGTCTGATAACCAATCCCTGAACCACTGCACACTGAAGGTCCAACACACGACATTCCTGCATCAAGGACATCGCCATTGAATAACCACCTTTTGTTTGTCAGCCTCAAACATGGTCGTGTACGTTCTAACAGTTTAGTAATCATATACCATATTAAAATAGTACGCAGCAGAAATACTTAAGCTTCATCCAAAGTCCTTGAATACACTGTAACATATACGTGACACTCAAATATCAACGGTATGACCAACACATGATCAATATATATTTACCTCTTCGAGGCTGCAAGGATAAACCAGACGAATAAACATTGTATATACCTTGTATAACCAGATAAGTAAATGCACTATAGTGCCAGATACAAAGGTATCCTATTATATACGTATATACACCTTTATACATACGTCACATTGTTGAGCCTCGATACCACTAGGGTCGAGTCGGCTATCAGTACAGCTGACATAATTACAGATAAACTCAGTGGACGTATATCTGACCTTGGCTAGTGTGTAAATATCTCCGCCATCTGTGTGTTGTATATAGTCTGTTGTAGTTGTAGGTGTTGCTGCAGACCACGATGTTGTGGGCCATTATTTCCTTCATACTGTCGCTGTTCGGACAGCACTCTTTGGGACAAGGCAACTACGGCTTCACCTTGAATTCATGGGATGTCATTGGAGATCTGAATCATTTCTGGAAAAGTACCGGCTTCTGGTGAGCTGAATGTGGTATAATTCCAGAGTTTATTTAGTCATTTGGTATGTGTTAATCATATTGCAGCATCGTATTGCAATATATTCTACACCACATACATGTATATTGTTTACATCGTGTAAGACGAACGTGGCTCATGAAAACTGTGATGTTTTACTTTCTACTTCAGTGCCTCTGTCTTAGGTAAACTAGTTCTCTAGGTGGTTATTGTTTGAGTGGCCTCGGACGTGTTCGAATCCCTGTTCCTCAAGCTGGCAATGTTTCTAGGTTGGTCAGCACCATATCCATGTGCGTGAATTTAAAAGTGATGGTTTCAAAATGTCCATTAATCTCAAGTTTCAAGCTTTTCTTATGACACTTCTTCTAAATTCAGTCCAAACAATGAAGGAATAACAGTAACTAAACATTAACTAAACATTAACTTGACACTGGCTGGACAGTGGCTGGACAGTGGCTGGAAAAATCGTCTGTCCTCTGAGCCCACAGCACACAATCCTATAACGCTCTCTTAGAAACTTAAAGTCATGTCTTACGTCCTCAGTATCTTCTCACAATCTTTCGTTTCACATGTGTATCTTAAATTCTTTGTCGGACACTTATCGTTGTTGATCAGGTCAGAACCCATAGGACCCCCAAAAGACAATTAGTCTATAAGTGTTAGTTACAGTGGTGTATCACAGCTATCACCAATCCTGGGAAAAGTATCCTCGGACATCCGCTGGCAGCAGGGGCTGGCAGATTCTTAGATTTGTCCCTGTGTTTAAATTTTGGTTTCAGCCGAGGTGTTGCCGTTGTCGATGACACTGTGTGTGACACTGAGACAGTGTCTTTGGAATAATGATACTAATTACTACAAAATTGATTGACGTCATGAAGCTAAACACAGAGTGAGGTTTCAAACAGATTACGGGCTATTTGGCTGGTAACGTCAAGTTGTAGAGTTGAAATTAACTGCAGATATGACAATTGCAAATGGCTGAAACTAACGTTTTTAATTCCATACATTAAACAAGCAATTTCTGAAAAACTTTGAGTCAGCCAGTAAGGTATTTTGCACATATTGGAGTTAGTAAACCTTTAAGATGATATAGTCGATTTGTCTCAAGTTAGGTTTCAAAGATTTGAGTCAATACACGAGGTAGGTTACGGACTAATTGGTTGGAAATGTCACTTTGTAGAGTTGAAATTAACAGTAGATATGACAAATGCAAATGGCTGAAGCAAACGTTTTTACTCTCATGCATTCCCAATTTGAACAAATGGTTCCCGAGGAGCAAGGTCTTTTGCAGGCATTGGTAAATTGGAATTGGTAAGCGTAATTGGTAAACATTTCATATGATTAAGGTTAACACATTAAATGTTTTTGCACATTTTACTTTAAGTCCTCCACTTCCGCATTCCGATGCCGCCAAGTTTGACCTGAACCCAGACATGCAACAGAACCTGGCCTACATTGGCGCCATGCCACACAGAGGGGATAGAACAGGTCCGGATACACTGGCTACTCGAGCTCATCAAGGTCACAAGGTCAGTTGGTGGGTCGCGATACATACATAAGGACGACCGCAATCTTGGTATTTAATGATAAACTAAAAGCAAACCTTTCACGGATCTACATACGAATCCGATAATAGGATGCCCTTGTGTCCTTGAGCGTTTTTTATTCTTTTTGTCTGTGAATTAAAAGACAATATATATTATAGTCTCGAAAAGTCAGACCGAAGACAACTGAGCATTTACAATTTACAAAATACTTAAGGCAATATAAATAATAACGTTATCTATACTCGCACCTCGGAATAACGGATAATCAGTACCTCTTGAATTAATCTTTGAAGTTAAAAAATGTAATGCTAACGCATATATGTGCAGTGTCAACAACGGCAACGCGACGTACGACTTCTCCGACCTGGACAGCCTGATGGACCTGCTGTACGTGAACGGCCTGAAGCCGGGGTTCGAGATCATGGGTAACCCGTCTAACGTGTACACGGACCTGGAACAGAAGGCCCAGGTGTACATGTGGAGGGACATGGTACAGGCCATAGCACAGAGATACATCAGTAAGTCTTGGGGTCTCTCACTGGAACCATACTATTTCACATTCTATAGGCATATATAGGGCTTGGTTAATTGTGTTGGTGTCAAGATGCTACCAACAAGGCACAGTTGCCACCAACTGTAAC